CCGTTAAGACTCTGGTTAGTCACACTCATCGGCCATCTTAAAATCATCACTGCAGCAGGCAACATGTATTGTTTTTCTTTGTTGTAATAATATATATATAATGCATAAATACATCCTGACTGGGATCATGTAGTTGTGAATGATCTGTTGCATCCTGTTTAATGGTGCTCTAATTACTATGTGTGTATGTTATTTCTGTTTTTGTAATGTACATACTTATTGTTCAGTTTGTTTTGTCTCTTGTGTATTTGAGTTTTTATGTAAAGGGATGGGAACTGACAGTTTAGGTTATAAATGCTGTGGTGTGTCGCATTTTTTTAATGCTACATACTAATAAATAAACATATTACATAAAAACAAATCATCAGTAAAAGAGAATAGTGTTGAAATACATCTTTAGATCTCATCCTAAACACCTTCCCAGATTAAATAGACATATTATTGGTCTATCAATATACTGAATGCTCACATATACTGGTGGATCAAACACATAATTCAATATTCAATCACAACATTTTAAGGAATTCAACAAAGATGCACATAAAATGTGAACGAGAATTACATGGTCAAGCATATAGTTTAAAAAATAAATATGTACTTCCATATGTTTATCAGAGTAATGTAGGTTAAGCACATATTTAGTCAAATGTGTATGTATGCATAAATATGAGCTTAAATCAACCTAAAATATAAGTATTTAGAAATTCATGCTGTCGGCAGAAATCAGATTCTTACTGATCACATGTTCAGGTTGCTCACTGCACTAACGCTCAGCTCCTCTGTCTGTCCTCCATATTACAAACTGCTGAGAGTGTCAGCTAGTTGCTGAGACATCTTTTGTTCTTATTTGCAGTTTCGAGTGAAGCCTGGTGCTGGTTTAGTTGTGTCTTTGCTTACAAGTTGCAGCAACTGCAGTTCAAACAAACAGTCCCTTTGGTGCAACTCAGAAGAAACAAAATAAACACTATGAATTTATGTTTCTCCTTTGTTTGCTGAATTTACAGACAGTATGTTTATATCTCCATTGTTAATCTGCTGCTCCATATCCATCTGCTTTAAGGACTCACTTTGACACACTCTGAGAGCAAACAAGGACTTGTATGACTGTGCAACCAGGAACTATATGGACACTGAAGGTCTCCTCCTGTGTCTTCCTACTAAGTGTTATTCCACTAGCAGACTTCCACCTTATATTAAATAATACAGACAGGCGCAGGGTTTGACTTTGAGTTGAGTTTTGAGTTTAAAACCAAGTCTGTGATGAACATGATGCACCTACATTATACCTCGAGAAGTCAATGCTCTGTAAACTAATGGAAATCAAGCTTCTTATTCCACCACTTGACACTTGACACCCAGAGCAGAGTCTTTTCTGGCAGCAACCGACAACTGAAAAATTGTGTTAACATTTTGCTCTAAAGTGAAATTGACAAATGATATCTTGTCCTCTTGGGCTTGTCGATGAGGAATGTTAGCATTGCTTTCCTGTTTAGCTGCATGACAACAAGACAAATGTTTGAAGAAGAAAAAGAAAGAAAAAAGGGGCAGAGACTGAATGAAAGGTTTAACTCCAGTGCAGACATTGAAACTCTCAGTGTAAGGTCACAGGGGTCGGCAGTTCCAGCCTCTGCTTCCCCTGACAAACTGCTCAGACTGGATCAACAACTTGCCAATGCCTCTAGCTGAATGCCTGTAAGGCACACACAGCAAACAGTCATAAAGGTTTCTCCACTGAACTGGTCATGTCCCTCTCTCTCCCTGTTAGCATTTAGATCTGATAGGGAAGCCAATATCCTGGAAGTTTTCTCACTCCTCATGAATCCTCAGCGACAAAACCCTTCAGTTCCACTTCATTCAATAGTATAAACACAGTGTTAGACACTAAATGTTTTGAATATTCACATCTAATTAAGTGAATATTTGTCTCATGTAACCTGATCACCTGTTCTCTGGACCTGCACTGTCTACCTCCATCTTGGGCCAGGACATGGTATTCTGTAGTTTTTAGAAAGCTACTGTGAAGCTACCTCAAACAGTTTAAATAAGACCTCTAAGCACTGCCTTTAGAGAGAGTAAGCATATTTTAAATGATAAAATATCTTCCACAAATATAACATCTCTGCTCTAGTTGGTATAATAGCCCTCAAGTATGACAACTCATAGCGTTTACTCTGTGATAGTAGTTTTGTTGTACAAAGTGCTTTTCTGACCTAAAAGGTGTTCAGAAAGTCACCAAATCTAGCGACACTAAGTCAGGCTAAGTTGATAACAGTAGTTTGGTTGAACCTTGAACATGTGTGTGGATGTATCACTTTTAATGTTTAAACCACAAAATCAGGATTTATGCATTTTTTTCACAATGGGACCAAATAAAGCTGCGCCATATGGTAAAAAAAGTCATACTGGGATTATTTTTATAGATACTGTGAGAGCGTAATCATTCACGATTAGTGGGAATTGTGCGTCACGATTTTTGTTTTTACTGAATTCTTTTTTTAATTCTGATGTGACATTTGTTGGGGTCTGTACCGAACATGTACCTATACGTTTTTTTTACATCTGGAGCACAAGATTTGTAGGGCAGTCGTCTCTGCAGCACCTCAGTACTTCATTATAAAGCTGTTTTATTACACATTTTACATTCATCAATTAATGTTTGGGATATTGTACATGGCCATATTTATATCTCAATTAATTGTGCAGCCTTAGATCTAAAGAAGACATTTAGTAATATTGACCTGTACCACTAACTGTACACTGCTCTTACTCACCCCTCATGCCACTGCCCTCCTCGTGGAAGGAACTGCGATGCAGACCTGAACCTCCTCCTAAGCCAGCCTCCTCCAGGTGCTCACTGCCTCCACTGCCCGAGGATGCGATGCTGCTCTGGGGCGAGAGAGGCGCGTGGTCTGGGGCGGGGCCTCTAGCGGTCCGTAGGTCCTCCTGGGACAGCCAGACGTGGCCCAGAGGCTGGTTGCTGGGGCCGCTCATGGGAGGTGTGAGGGACACGGAGCGCTTCAGGGGACTGTGCTGTTGGCTGCCACCTCCACTCGTTAAGACTACAAGACAGCAACGACACTAGTCAGGGTGGTGCTGAGATGGGATCATACTGGCAAAACTGCTGTTCACTCACTCCTGCGTTTAAAAATATGAACTCAACACAATATTCGACTGGCTACAGCAACACTAATGTAAAGATTGAGGGCGAGCCTGCATCAATATCCCAAATAGAACTTATCTTTCTGAACTGTGTTCATTCAAAAATTTGATTCATATTAATAACTGTAACTGGCACATGAAGTACATTTGGTGACCCTTAACAAACATTCAGTAAAATATTGTTAGCACCAAAAGTGATAAGCGATATATCACACTATGTATATAATTAAAATCAAGCACATGTTCAATTCAGAGTCCGACCCTGGGAAGGAGGAAGATGATGAGCTGTCAAACACACAGCAATAAAGAAATCTCAAGAAAGTAAAAATATTTTGTTTTTGGGAAATTAGTCTTAATTTCTTGTCAAAAAAGAAAAATAATCTTGTTTTGCTTACAACAAGTTCCTGTTATAACAACGGTTTTCATAATATCCCAGCAGAGGAACATGTTCCTTATTTTAAGAGTAAAATCACTCGCACATTTTCTCAGTTTAAGAGAAAGTCATCTTGTCCCAGTGTTGTAGATGAAGCAGCTTCTGGTTCCTTAATTCTTAAATAATTTATTTTTTATGATGCTGTTTGAGGAAATTGTGTTTTATTAATCTTAGATTAAGGTACAAATTCAGAACAATAAAGTGACTAAAATACTTATAAGAAAGTCTATCTTAAATAACTGTGGTCATTGTTTGTAATTTTTTCTAGGTTTAACGTCCATTCCCATCTTTCAGTGGCTGATTTTTATACTATTTTTAAGATATTCAGCCAAGCTAAATTGTCTTACCCCATTGGCAATACAGGAAAATGTGATTATATTTAAGAATATTTGGCTTGTTTCGAGGAGGGCTGTGCAGTGAAGCACAAGGTTTTTAGTTAGTAATTAACTGTTCCTGTTGTCATCTACTGTATATCCAGGTACCTCTGTGCATTCACAGACTAATCTGATCCACGTCAGGCACGACAGGAAATACACAGAGGTGGCAGCGGATGTTTCTGCTGGATTTCTAATTTTCTAAGATGGAGATAAGAAGGCGCAAATAGTGTTTGTTTTAACATTACATTTAGAGTCATCTTCAGTTCCTTTACTATGTAGAGTTGCTCCTCTTGTCTGTCTTACTGTATCCATGATATCTCAATAGCTACAGTATACTTGTAAAATCAGCTGAGATGTGACATTATAACGCAGTATCTGTTTGTGAGTTAACCAGAGACAGCTGGAGGGAGGAGGCTGCATCTGCCAGGCATGAACACACACACACACTCTCTCCTGGTATCTTACTGCTGACATTCAGACTTTAATAAATTACATCTCTTTAAACGGACAGCCTTTTGATATTCTTAGATCTATGAGTACTGCAAAATGTCCGCTCAACAGTCCCTCAGATCACTGAGTTCAACAAATAAACAAAAAAGCCAGCAAAACTTGCACGTTAAATCTTCAAAAGGTACATTTTTTAATATCGTAAACAGTCTAATAATAGCTCGGGCGTTATTTGCTTCAATCACTGATCTCAGCCTGCTTTTATTGGGGACAGGTGTCTAT